ACGAAGGCGTTTATGTACATGTACACAATGATCGAGCACGAGGATGCGCTTCGTCAACTTTGTTGAACTCGTTAACACCTCGGCCTGCGAAACGTAATATTACTCGGTCGGTTGCGCGTTTCTTGGAAAGAATTAATCGTTAGTTAAATAATTTATCCAAGCGTTATATTAGCGTTCACTGTTTTCTTTACTATTCGACGATTTTTTTTTTTTTAGAATGGAACTTTCAAGTTGGATGAAATATTAATATTAAACGATAGTTTTAGATAGATGGAAAATTTTTAACGCAGCCAAGGTGTTAAAGAACACAAATCAGCAAATGGATGACGATCGAAGGAATAATAATATACATTCACACTTCCTCTCGTGGCTCTCGCACTTTCTCTCCCTTATAAAAATACGTTGGACGGAACCGACGACGAGTTTATAGTCTCCTCGTGCCTTCTTTTTCTTTCTTTCTTTCTCTCTTTCTTTTTTTATTCTGTCTACTTGTATCTCTTTTGTTCTTTTCTTTTTCTTCTTCTCTTATTTTCTCGCTTTAATTAAAATGGCGTTAAATTTGCGTTAAAACGACGATTGTGTTTTTGAGCGCTCCGATTTCAAAAACTCCTTTCCCATCTCTGTTCCATCGAGAATTCTACGGGATCGAAGAAGAAATAAATTCGAAAATTCGTTACTCCTCTCCACTTCTTTATCTTCTTTGAATTGTTTCAAATTATGCTCCTCCAATATTATAATTATATAAATATATATATACATATGTGTGTGTGTGTGTATGTATGTATATAAATCGAGAAGCCCGAAGAGAACTTCGATCGATTTTTAAAAAAAGTTAAGTCTTAAAAATTGTAGAAAGACTGATATGCAACAGGATCACAAAAAATATTCGATGTTTTTTTTTCAGCAGTAAAGGTAATTTACTTGATCACATGGTATAAAAACATGGTTTGTTAATAAAACTCTTATAGGGACGAGAGTGTACATTTTTGTAAAGTGAATATACATATTCGAATAATTCGTTTTCTTTCAACTTTCACGCGAGTGTCGAGAATATAATTGTTTCAAAAACAACACGCGATAATGATATATAGGATTCGTTGATATTCGCGTCGCTCGAAAAATTTCATCGGTTAAAAAAATACTCGAATCTCGAACAGTCGAAAAATACAACGAGGTCGAACGATTAAAAACAACCGCCCCTGGACCCTTTTTCTTATCTTTTTTTTCTATTTTTTTTTTTTTTTCTTTCTTTCTTCCTTTCTTTCTTTTCCGTTTAAATACTCTAAGAGAAGGGATCGATCACTTAAACTAAACACAAAAACGTTTCGTCCCTCCCGTTAAAATAATTCTCTCGCCTTTTAAATCTTTAAAAAATAACGCTATATAGTCTTTTTTTTCCTTTTTTTTCTTTTTTTTTTTTTGTTTGTTTACCACCTCGTCAACCGACCGATTCTCTGATCCCAAAAAATTGTCACTGGAACACGATGTCGAAAGGTATCTTCGCAGTATGTCTACGATTCATGCAAAAAAATGAAATCCAAAAAATCTCTTTGAAAAAACATTATCATGCTCTCTTTCACTCTTTCTCTCTCTCTCTCTCATCCTCTCGATAATCGAAATATTCATTATTGTACACAGTTTTGCAAAAAGCTGTGGTTTCGAAGAGTGATTTAGCAGATTTAACGATCTGCAATCACGATAATTAATAATGTTATCTTAACAAGTTTATCTTTTATCTTATATAAAACTACGCTCGTTTGGGAGTATCTCATTCGATTCGATTCTCAATTCTCGAATTTAATTTCGTTTCGGACAAATATAATAGCAGACGATTTTATATATATATATATATAGGCCATTCCCTCGACGATGAAATTATCTCTCGTAATGCGGCGTTTAAAAATTTCGGGAGGTAATTCGCTCGCGAACGACGAGGAAAATAAGAACGAAGAAGAGGAGGGGGGAAACGTATTAAACTGGTATCACTGGGACAAATGAAAAAAGAGACGAGAATCGAAACTGAAATTTTGCTCCACACAATTATCTCCAATGTGACAAGAATCTTAGAATCGTGTCATTAACAAAGCGTTTTCTCTCCCAAAATTAACTTTTTCGTTTTTCTTTCGAAATTTCCAATTCTTTTTTTATTTATTTTTTTTTTCTTTTCTGCAAAACTCTCGTGTCGAAGCAACTTTTAAACTTTCAAAATTCTATCCAAAGTACTTAATGGCTGTATGTAAAAGGGAAGTAGTACAAGAATTTTATTATTATTCTCGTCTCTTTTTCCGATAATTATCCTTAACTCGCATACTCTGAATTTTCGTCAATGCTTCGAATTTCAAAAATTAATTCTAATCTCTCTCTCTCTCTCTCTCTCCGCACCTCTTCAACTCGCAAGGAGCTTCAACATTTCTTTTTTTTCTCTTGTTCAATGCGATATATATATATATATATCGGGGGTCATTTTTCGAGTCATACCTATTAATTAGAGTATCTTCTTCTCTCTCTCTTTTTTTTTCTTTTTTTATTTAGTGAAAGGACGCAAATGGCTCTTGCAAAAATACAATTTGTTATTTTTCATCTTCTCCTGTTATCGCTAATAAAAATTGTTGTGTATTTAATACCTATTCTTTTTTTTTATTATTATTATTATTATTATATTTCTTAATTATCTCACTTGTCGTATTATTGATCATCTTTTCTCGTATTCTTTTCTCAATCGATCAAGGTTAGGTTAGGTTACATCGCATGTGTAAACACGGGCACGAGATTGGCAAGAAGGCCATGGATAATATTATTACCGCGTAATTAATTATTCTCAATAATTTTCTCGCGGATAAACTATTATTACGAAGAGAGGAAATATGATGGAGAAAAATTTCGTCCTCGCGATACCGCCATATTTATTTCTCCTCGAGGCGAGGGAACGCATGCACCACAAACTTCACTAAAACCGTCCGTAAAAACCGACGATCGATATATATATAAGATATACGATATATCTGTCTGTACACAGCGTAATATATTAAATGATATTACACTTTTTTTCCCTTTTTTTTTTTACATAATATAATCATCAACACCTTTTATATATATATATAATATACGTATTTCACGCATTTACACACTCACTCTCTCTCTCTCTCTCTCTCTCTCTCTCTGGGGTCAATGAGCAGATCGCGATCGACGAAACTTTTCTCAAACTGTTCTCGAAGGAGTCAGTGGTTCACCCAGGTGTTATACCTTTAAAAACGGGACAGGCTCCAACTCTTGTGCGCGATGCGGAGCCGATGACGAGCAAAGTCGTCGCGCGGTCTCGGCAACGAACGCGAATCGAGTCCGTCGATAAACGGATTTCAAACAATTTTTACATTCGCGACGATTCCAATACGATTCTCCTCCTATCGGTTGTTGTTTTGGATCGTTTGTTACTAAAGGGCGAAGAAAAAAAAAAAAAAAAAAAAAAAAAAAAAAAAAAAAAAAAAAAAAAAAAAAAAAAAAAAAAGGGGAGGGGAAGAAAAAAGTATCTGTTGTTGTTGTTCTTCTTCTTCTTCTTCCGTTTCACAGCATCGTTTCAGCATCGTTTCAGCTTCATCATCTTCGTCAATTTCACGGATGTCTTCCGCTGCTCGTTCGTCTCCTCGAACGTGGCGCCGGATCGGAAGTTAGGACCCGGAACGAGGCGAGGAGCGAGGAGGAGAGCGTTCCCCGGCGAACTGATCCGCCAAGCTTCCCCGAGTAAGGCAACTCGAAAGCGTGTTGATGATTCTCCCTCGTGGTCGGCGTCCACACGCCCCTCTTTCCTCGAGTCTTCTCGATTCCCTGTCAGGTAACGACGAGTCTGGCGGTCGAGTTCACCAAGTTCCTAAGCCGTGGTCACTCGATGCTCCTTATCAGCACGGCCAGCTCGCGGAACAAAACGCCCAATTTGCCCGGCGTCCCTTGTTTCTTCAACAGGATACCTCTGATCGTCGAGATCTTCTCGAAACATGAGAGGCACTTGTGGTATCTGAAAGGAAATTATTTGTATTAATTATTTTCGTTAATATCGATGTATTAATTATATCAATTGTTGTGAAAAGATTACCTTTCCTCCCGTGACACGTCGACACCGATCGTGTGAAGGGGCGCTTCCACGTTCGATTTTATCACGGATGCGAAGTTTCGTAGGATCAATCTCAACGCCGAACATCCTACAGTTATGTACCTGAAACAGGCGAGATAAAAATAAAAAGAGAAGAAAAAGAAGAAGAAGAATCACTTTGCGACAATTTTATTAAATTACGTTAAAAAAAAAAAAAAAAAAGAAAAAAGAAAGAGAAAAATCGGATTCAGAGGAGAGGAGAGATGAGAAAGGCGGTGGTTGCGACCGGGCACCGATGCTTGTCACGGCTAGTTTGTTCCAAAACGTGTTATTAGCCCATAACGATGCCAATAAATAACGAAAGGCACGAAAGGCTTGGCCCTGCAATTCGACACGCTCGCTTTTGGCCGGCGATAAAGGGTTCACGCGAGCTCCCGTTCGAATCGGCGAGACGAATCGCGCGGCCCGCCCCGTAAATGTTCCACGATCGCCTCCACCGTCAATATTTTACATTATATACACGCCACCACTACCATCATCCGCGGGAAAATAATCTTCTCCCGATCTTTATAATCTTTATTATTTTTAATCGAGTTTTGAAAACGTTTCTTTATCAATATCGTTATACGATTATTAATATTCTCACAAGTAATATTTCAATCCAAGATCTCTTTCCTTATTCAACGATGATAGTTAATCTAATGATATTTAATTAAATTATATATTTCATTTTGATAAATTAAATAATAAATATTTGGTAAGTATTAGTGTGTAAAATTTCTAATTCTTTCCAGAAAAAGAAATTCTTTTAATCCTTTTTATCTATATAGAGATAATGGTCGATTTTGGGAGAAGGGGGGGAAAGGATCGATGAATTGGAAAACGATCGAAACGACCCTCCGTCACATGGCACGCGACACAGGATCGAATATTCATCGGTGCGCGCTCTTTTTTTTTTCTCACGAGCCCACTGCCACCTTTGACCAAAGGACGAAAGCACCGTGACGAACCAACCGTGAAAATGGCGGATAGCTACGTGCAAACCGAGTTACGTTACGACGTCGAGATGTGTATGTTTAGCTGGCAATTTCCTGCCTGGATTCACCCTTTCGATTATTTAGCTGTCGAACCGTGAATCGAATGCATCAGCAATCAGTGCGAGCTCGTGACCGAATCTCGAAACGAAATTCGAACTTTCGAATTTTCAAGGAACGAAAAAAATACTTATTTTGGTAAAACAAATTTTATATATAAGATACGTTTGAAAGGAAAATAAAAATTGATTGGTTTATCTAGAAATATAGCATATCCTTGATAAGAATTGTCTTTGAGAATTTTTATTTCAAACTTTGCATGTAGAATCATCGACTCTGTCTTTGTCACAGCTAAAAAATAAGACGCTTTTAAACGAGATCGATGAATATGTATTTATGAAAGATCGAAAATTGTATATATATTTTTAAAAATCGTACGATTCCATAATTAGCTTTTTTTTTTCTTATTTCAAGAATCGTGCAACTGTGAAGAACTGTGGCAGAAAAAAGAGAAGAATGGACAGCAGCTGCTAGACGACCGACAAATTAGTCGGAATTCACATATATGGCATCGATTACAAGTTTCCTGAACGTGAGCAACGGGCATAAACGACCAGCCATAGAAAGCGTCGAAGAAACGAAAAATTTATATGTATTTGCATGTTAACGATATATCCACATTATTTTTCGAGGATTCGAAGTTATAAATGGTAAGATGATTTCTAATTAATTCCGATGACTAAGATTTAAGTTACGATTTTTATTATGGCCGATGATGCAACGATAAATTATCTTCATACGTAAATTGCACATTTGTCATTCTTTTCGTTTTTTTTTTTCTGTTCTAATAATAGCAATGACAAGCAAGGAGGCAAAACGCGAAGACGATGATCGTCGCAATAAATGACGGCGTAACGAATGGAACAGCAATTTTCCGGACTGGTGGACTTACATTCTAAACGGATGTACTATTATTAGATCGCAGTTTGATATTGGCTTTGCCTTTCAATTAATATGGGAAAGCCTCGAGGCTTATCTGATCTACGATCTCTCTAGTTTTAATCTGGAAAAAATCAATTAACTAAATGATCTTATCGTATTAAATTTGATAATAAATTAAACGTAACGATCGCTTTGTTCGATAAAATTCATGCCTTATTTTTTTTTTTCTTCTTTGTTTATAAAGGACGTTCAAGGCGAAGCGATGAAATATAAGAAGCGCGCGATCCATTGGACGTTAATAGGCGTATACGATTTATAATGCGCATTGTGTGCGTAATTAGAGGAAGAACAGGGCAGGAAGAAATGGATAACCAATGCACACGTGAAAGGAAATGCTCGTTTCTCGTCACGACAGCTCAATAGCAACAGCTTGTAACTGTGCACCGGTTAATTACATTGTTTCGAGCATCAGTCGTACGACAAGCTGTTAGATCCTTCCGAGTTCTTATTCGAAACTACTGTCTAAAATAATATAATTTCGATTAATTATCGTTTTAATATAAATTATTCCTTTCTTTCGATAGTCGAATAAACGATATTAATAAAATGAAACCTATGCTTTTCAAGAATGCATCACAGCCGTATCCAACTTCCTACGCTATCATTAATATTCATGATCGGCTGTCAGGCCAAGAAAGAAAAGGATTTACTATCCGTAACTGTCCATGAAGTGCGTCAACATATGCGTGGCCCTTCGAGTTTCGAGATCGGACAATAATACCCGCGACAGCCGAGGATTCAAGCGTCGAATTTGCATCTGCCACTGTCTTCTATTGTCTCGGCTAATTTTCGCGAACCCTTCTTTACTTGTCAGTCTCTTCAACTCGTATTTCCCCGTTCCTCGAATTAGCCATTCCCATACAAACGGCTGAGCCACGTGAAGTGTACGCGACCCTACTCGAAATACCCTGTTTGGTCTCGCGTTTGCTATTCGAGAACTCACTTCGCATAGGGGTGTCTCGATTTTCTCCAATTCATCGAGCGTGTTGTGTTTCACGATGGAAATTGAAGTAACGTTACAGGATATGAGTAAACGGGCATACACGTGTGTTGCGTATATACACATCCATACTTTATACATCAGTATAGCGGTGTGAGATATTCAACAAAAAAAAAAATGTGTGAAATAAAATGAAAAAATAATGAATCTAAAAATAATTAGAGATTATTAAAAGATGTGTACTTACATTTCGTATTTACTTTGTAGCAGATCACCGATTGGACCGAGTAGAGAGTTACATAAATCCAAATTCCACATTGTTCTAAAACAGAAAGTGAAGTAAAGTATGAAAGAAAATTGTAAGAAAGATATACGATTTCTAATTGTTTATTCAATCGTGATACTTACGGTTTCAACGTTAGTATTCCCAATAGATCCACGATAACTGAAAGATCGTTCATTGCCACGGCAGATTCCACAGCAGCCTGAAAAATAGAATAATTTCTTATTAATCTTGCCATAGTCGTTAGTTAACGATATACATTGGATGGTATATAATTACCTTAAGATCTTTATTATGCCACAGAGAATAAATAATTTGCAATGATCGATGACGACTCGTAAGTACCGCCATCATAGATTCATGACCACGCATCATGCTGTTGAGTACTTCAGCTTCCGACATCTCGTTCAGAACTCCCATTTGAGAAAAACCTAACCCAGTTGGATTTGCATAGTGGTTCTGTTAAAGAACACGATCATTGTATCACAAGATAATTCAACTTTTCCATTTTAGTTTTCTAGATAATGCAAACTCACTGGTAAAAAAGTTTCAACATCCAAACCGTAAGGTTTATCGGCACTTATGGGAACAAATTCTCCTTTGTCCGCGTTCTCAATACTCGGCCTTATTTGAGAAGCGCGAATCTCTAGCTTAAGATTTGGAGCTACTTGAGCTTTATTTGATTTCTTTGTGGCGAATGTCGTGGCTGTGGAAGCGTTGCGCGCGGACAGCGACACTGAGGTAGCGAAATTCCTGTTCAGCGAAGTGGACCTAGATTGCGCAGTATTCGGCCTGTTTAACGCAGGATCGGAGGGACTGTGCCTTATACTATTAATTCTATAAGAACGTTAAACGTTTTGTTTTCAATAATTACCATTGTTACATAATATTCTAATTATACAACGTCATATTTATACTTACTGTACCGGGTAATCGCTTTCGTAACCCTGTTCTCCATCTCTACAGCTATTTTGTCTTTTTAAATAATGCTTAGGAGAATCTGGGCTAGGTGCTCTATTCTTTAGTTTTCCATCATCCATTACTGGAAGAACGGCAGCCATTGGTGCTACACGAGGTGTTAACGTAGAGTTTGATCTTTGAGGGCCTAGAGGTTGTGGAAGTGTTGTTATATCATTATTAGGACAACTTTTTTTTCCAGGAAGAGGTGTAATGTTCTGTCTTAAAGGTGGTATAGATGCCAAATTTTTCGAAGTTCTACCAAGGCCATTATTTGCTTGAAGATTCGCTTTTATTTGGCTAGTAGTCGTAATCGAATTTCTTTGAAGAGGCGGCGATGTTTTAATTGGTTGAACACGAATTGGTACAGGCTTTGTTAACGATAACGTTGATGCGGATGGAGGCGAAGATGACGGTGATGAAATTGGCGGAACTTCTTCTGAATCCACTATATTTAAGCTTGACATTGAGGTAGAAAAATTTTGCAATATTTGTGGTTGTGTAGGATCTATAAAAAGAAAATATATGGAATGATATAAAATTGAATATTTTGTACACAATACATATAAATTTTATATTAATAATTCATGCAATATTGGTGTAAAAGAAAAAGATAGATACAGAAAATTTTTGTTTTAAGAATATAGAACTCACCTACATCTTGAGGCTCCTCGAAAGCCTCAGGTTCTGGAGGTGGAGTGCGAGACACTGAAACATATCGTGCATAGCATGCTCATTCACAAACCATACAGCATAACATCCAAATTGTAGATGCATTTGTATTTTCAGACATGTGATTATAGGTGAGTAGTTAAGAGTTAGCAAGAACAGGATTTGAATATGTTATGATACATACATAGATCTTGCAATAAAAAAGAAAGAAATTATATAATTATACTCACATGATCTATTGGGCTGAAAAATGTCATGATATTCAGTAACATTAGGAATATCTGCATATGTTGATTCATCCTCTGGATCAGTTCCAGATTTATCTGCTTCTTCTATAGTTCGTACATCTAATCTATAAACAAAATATCATGTAGAAAAAAATAATATAAAATATAAAACATTGTATGAAACATAAATATCATGTAGAAAAAAAATGATATAAAATATAAAATATAAAATTGTATGAAATATAATGTATGAATATAAAAATTATTTACGAAACTTACGTATGTTTTTTTAATCCAGGTGGTCTTTCTCTAGAAAAACTTTTCCTTAACGAATTTCCATGACTAAATGGAGAACCAGATGTCGAAACTCCTCCTAATGGAGCAATTTTCTTTAAATCACACACGTACAAAACAATATTTGCAGTGTGATAACTTGCACCAATCTAAATAATTAATAAAAACAAATTCTGTATTATTATTTATTATATATATTTGATTACATGTATATTATATATATTTTTATTATATAAATTTATTAACAATAATCTTACCAATTGATTCTGAGCTATAGCTATATCCTGTACTTTCCCCCAACCAGTTGGGATGGAATCTAATGTTCTACCTGGTTCCCAACCATAAACTTTTAACACATCATGGCAACCAGCAAAAAGACATTCTCCACCTTGACTGAAATAGAGACATCTAACAAAAAGAAGAAATATTAATAAACAATGGAAAAATTTTAATAATAATGAATATTCTATAATATTTATGATTACTCACCTAATTGCAGAGGAATGACTTTGGTCTGTAGAAGATACAAGTTGAAAAGATTCCAAATCCCAAAAATGTACTGTTTTATCTGCACTTCCACTGGCTAGTAAAAATTCATGAGGATGAAATTCTACTGTTGTTGCTGGACCTCTGTGTTCAGAAAACTCTCTTAACTGTCTACCAGCTCTTAAATCCCACAACTATAATTAAAAAAAAAATCAATTAATTATATTAATCAAAATAAAAATGAAATTTGTAAAATAAAATATAATATTTACCTTAACCATTCCTTCCTCTCCTGCACTAGCTATCCATTGACCATCAGGACTAAATTTTAAACTATTTACCATCCTATTGTGTCCTTTATAAGTAAAGATACATCCTTTTCTCCTTATGTCCCAAAGTTTAATAGCAGTATCTAAACTTCCTGATGCCAATAATTCTCCATAAGGATGAAAATCCATACAACGTATACCTGCTTTATGTCCTGTTAATGTACGAGCTAATTTAGCATGTTCTAAATCCCAAATTTTTAGTGCTCCTGTTTGCGAGCCAGCGCATACTAAATCTTCTGTCTGTCCAAATCTTACACATTCAATAGGAGTGGTATGACCACTCAGGCTCTGAAAATCAAGAAAACAAAATTATACAAATATACAAATAATAAATTAAATGTTAAATTGATGTAAAATAAAATTTTATTAATGTTTCAATTCACTTTTTAAGTAAATAAATATAGAAAAAGATAAAATTATACCATAATACAATTCTGTTTTCCAACTGCCCATAAATTTACTTTCTTATCATCACCGCCAGTGACCAAAACGCGTCCAGATTTGTGACCTAATGCCAAGCAATTGACATTGGACGAATGGGCAACAAAATCCTCTGTACAGAGAAAAACATTCCTTTAAACTGTTCTTTAAAGTGCCCTGAACAAAATGTCAGTTTTCAACGACATATCATAAAGATAATGTATTTTCGATTTAAAAAAGGTTATGACCATAATAAGAAAATGCAGCGGACAATTAATAGTTGAATCTCAACAATAAACTTGTAAACATGAATTGTTTACTTATCTCTCAAAGAAGAGAGACCGCCAGAACAAAATCCGTTGAACGCACATCGAACATTGATGTATTAAATAAAGAATATATGAATACGAATGGGATAATCACTTACGGAGTTTCCATGACCTCTTCGTGGACGAAGCCATATTCCGGGACCACAGGATTGCGTTGTGCACGACTTATTTGGCAACGACAACAATTTGAGATTTCAGCTTGCAGATGCACAATTTTTTTTTGCTCGAATTCGTAGGTAACATTTTTACTTTGTGTTATTATTCAGTGCATGGACGATCGTTCAACGGGGCCACAGCATCTCGCCGCGTTGTGGTCCTGAAGGCAATCCTTTCCTTGAAACTTCTGTCCGTTTTCACAAACCGTTCGTTCCACCTCTTCGTCGTATCTCATTTCTTGAATCTGCCTGTCCGTGGGTAGCGCGAACTAACGTGACGTTGAAAAATATCGAAGTTCTGTTTCTATCGAGATTACGTTTCAATCGATCGCACCAGATGTCACCAGTTCTCTGGTTAATTGAATTTCAACCTTAGTAAATGTCAAACTAACGTAAGGGGAGGATGATAATTGAATTAAAAAAAGAACGCGATAAAATATTATCGAAACTTGCATATTTATAATTAATTACAATATGTCGTATTGTTATGTGAATTATATTATATGAATTACGTTACATGTGATATAATACTTCATAGTGTTATATAAATATTCAAAGTGAGGTTAATTTTCAAGTTAATTCTAATTTTTAACATACATAAGAAATAAAATGTTTGTCTTTAATCAATTATGTGTGTTTGCAATCAGAAATAAAAAATCATTTTGCTCACAAATATTTAAAAGATATTGTGTAAAATATGTGCAAGGACAGTCTCCAGAACCTCGAGTTCGTGAATATTTTTATTATATCGATCATCAAGGCATGGTATAATCTGCTTTTTAATTAAATTTATAATCTTCAAAAGTATAATATTTTTAGAATCATATTAATCTTTCTAACATTGTTGTTTTTAGTTATTCCTAGATGATTCACGTATGAAAAACTTCACATCATGTTTTAAAGGTGTGCATAAAGAAAGAAATAATTTATTATATATTACAATTCATATATCATGGGAGCTATATCATTTTAGATAAAAAGTTTTTGGCATTTTTTTTTAAACATTTAAAACAAAATGACACTGGCAGATATATGAAAGATTTTCCTTATATTTCTCTTTGTGGTCCAGAGAGAAATTTTGTCAGATGTGATGATTTGCCAATAGTTTTTACAAAAATTTTTCAAAAAGAAAATAATGAAACAGGCAAAAATGAAGATTGGTTTGGTTATGCTCATGCAGAAGAATTATTAATGGTACATCTCATTTTTATAATTAAATAAGTATAAATTTGATATTGATGTTTAAATTTCAATAATAAATTCATTATAATTCATAGGTACCATTTCAACCAAAAAAATTATATATGAATCAATCAGGAAGAATATATCATCCTGCACCAAAAAAAGCAGGAGGAATTGGTCTGGTAAGATCAAAAATTGCAATTGAGCTTAGTTCATCATTTAACTTTGAAGAAGGAGAGGAAAAGGGCCCAACTCATTTTTTTTGGAAAGATAAAATGTATACTTTAGATTGTAATTGGTTTAAGGATAAAATATTGCTAGCTATCAGATAAAAATAAATAAATTTTATTTTCAATTCAAAAAGAAAACAAAGCACAATATATGAACAACTTTCATAAAATGTATATATATATATATATATTTTTTTTTATATATATATAATAACAAAGATTCTATAATTTTTTTCTATCTAAAAATTTTGTTAAGGTAAAGATGAAATGTCAAAAATTCTAGCTGTAAAATCATCAGATGTTGTCAATGCTTTTTCTCCATTTCTAAAAAAATGTTATTATTATGTATTTTTTTAATTAAAATATTATTATAAAAAAAAAATACAATTCATTTAACTTACTCAGATATATATAGGTCAAGAATATCTGCTGTGTGTGCTACAAATGAACGTAAACATTGACCATTTTTTCCATCAAAACACCTCAAAATACCATCTAATCCTGCAGAAAATAATACAGTCGTATTTCCCTTCCATACAAGTTTAGATATACCACTTTCTTGTGTTATTTTTTGTCTAAGCATCTAAATAATAAATAATAGAAATTATTGTAATTTTACTTAAATTTTATTTCAAAAAGAAAAGTAAAACTACCTGTTTTGAAATATCCCAAATAAAAATTTCTCCATTCACTGTACCAGTTGCAGCAACTTGAAATGTTGGATCTTTACAAAAAACTGCTGTCTCTACCCAATTATTTATCTCTTTATTTTCTTCACTATTTCCAGCATCTTGATCATTAATTACATTATTCTTCTCATTATTATTAAGATTTTGCAAAATAGAAACTATCTAAAGTTGTTAAATGATTTTACTTTAATTTGTTTGTTGTATAAAAATTATTAATTTTATTACCTTTCCAGTATTTGAAGTACTGATTATTGTTTTTCCATCTACAGCTGCAGAAAGTATTAAATTGTTATCAGAATGACAATCGATAGTAGTTATAGTATGAGAATGACCATATGTAGAAGATATGAATGATAATACAGAATTAGTTTTTAAATCTAATATCCTAACAACTCCATCTTCATAACCTATTGCTATACGCTTGCCTAAAATATTAAATATAATTATAATACAATGTTTTTATTTACAATATAAGAAATATAAAGAAATGAATACCATCTGGAAATATTGCACCAGTCTCTGCCCGGCAGCCATATCCTTGTAAAACTTTGCAATCTCCATCAGGTATTTTCCACATATATATTTCGCCATCAACAGATCCTGCTAATAAAACATTTGCAGCTATATGCCACATCATCCACTGTAATAATAATATTTCAGTTTACTAAAATTAATAATAACATAGTAATTTCATTATGAAAACTATAAACTAACAGTAGCATCACCCATATTATAATCCCAAATTTTAATTTTATCAGCTACTTTCCAAACTTGTATCAGACCACTCATATCTCCAGTAGCTAAATATGATTCATCATAATTAAATGCTGAAAAAATAATGCTGTCTTTATGACCTGTGCAATCCAGAATAATTTCTCCTGTTGATGTATCCCAAACATAAGCTTTATCTTCTTCACCACCTGTAGCAGCTAGTTTTCCATTTTTACTCAAAGTACCGCAAAAAACAGAACCTACAAAATTTTAATATAAAATAATAATTTATCATCACAATATTAATCTTATTATAAAAATAAAAATTTTACTCTTACCTCGTTTATGACCAGTAAAAACACAAATTGCATCTCCTTCTGAAGGATCTTCCTCCATTGCATCTTCTTCTTCAATATCTCCTGCATCATATGCATCTATCACTTCTTCTACATCACCTATATATATCATATCTTCGTCTTCTATTTGCTCATTCATATCTGGAGAAGGTGGTGGAGTATCCCTGTGCATCGTTTATCTTAAAAACTTAATAAAGTGTGCAACAGGTCACGTTTTAAAAAGATATAAAATATATTTAACTAGAAACTATATGAGATAAACAATTCCTTCGCACAAAAATTATGTATCTCGTTAAAGTTTTTCACTTTAAAAAAAAGTCTCAACACTATTCAAAATTCAATTTTTGAGTCTGTCATTCGCAAAAATGGAAATTCAATTCAAACATTCGTCAACAACAATCGGATTTTGGAAGCACCAGCTGATTTGGAAGTTAGTTACAAAAATCATAGGGAATTTTTATTCACTGTTATTGGTATCATTATTTATGGTTTTATAATAATAGCGACATCTTTTAAGAAGAAATATAAATTGTATTTACCATCAGAAGAAAAATTAACTTTCTTTAAAAAATTATCAAATTTTATTATATTTAAAATTAAAGTTATAAATTCATATTATTAATTGAAAATGATTGAAATTGATCTTCTATAAAATATCATATATATTTATTTTTAATAACAATATATATGTGTATATATATATATATATTATAATTTTTTTATAAAAATAAATTAATTTATATTCAATTATTAAGCATTTTTTTCTTATAATTTATGTAATAGATAAATATTATGTAAATATTATTTATATACATTTACAAATATTGATATAATTTAAATAAATGTTATTATATGTCAATCCGTACCTCATGTTTCGTCATCCATCTCATCCGTCCTCCTACTCACTCTTCTTTTCATAGTCTTCCTCTTTCTCTCTAATAATATGTGCTTATTCCCCTCTTCCGTTAGTATTTCTATCTTTTTCTACATGTAAAAGTATACGCCCGACGACCGGCAGTCTCGGTCAAACTTCTGTGAGGTGTGTATGTTGTGGATTTCCTAAATTCGTCAATGTCTGTCGTGAATTTAAATCATAAAAATTCCAATGAAACATTTACGAAAGTTGTATCAATCAGTTCAAAAACATTCAATCATTCGAAAACAAAAAAAATTAATCATCAAGCTTTCAACTTTTCGACGGCTCTTCGAAAGAAATATCGATCAAATAAAATTTCAATAAACATTCGAAAGATCAATTGATCATACAAGTAATTAATAAAAAAAATTTATTGTATAATTAAAATTTATTAGTGAAAAATGTCACGCGGGATATTGAAGAACCGATACATAAAAGACGAAAAAGAGAACAAACGTTTTATTGGGCAGATGAATAGGATAATAATCCTGTAAAATCACCAAGCGAAAGTGGGAGGAAATAAATTAGAATATTATAGTGGGAGTGAATTTCTGAACAGTTAAGCTTTAAACAGTGCAACAGTCTTTGGGGTAAGATCATAGTGAAGCCACGTGTCGCGCTTGTCAAATCAATTATTTCGTATTGCATTCACTTTAATGATATACTTAAATGATAAGGCAAACAAAGGACAAATAATTTTTGTTATCTATTCATTCTTCATATGCGATAATTTTAACTATCCACAGACATAGTTATTTAAAATACATATTAAATCAAATAATATATCGACACAATATCCGTGTGAATTAAGTAAATTATGATAACGAAAATAAGGAAAATTGAATAAATTTTCACGAGTTAGATTTATTAAAAATATTTATCAAAGAATTATCAGAATATAAACAAATTTTGACAAGATATGCTCTATTTGAAGATAAAAATAGAATTAGTCAATATACAAAGAAAAAAAGTTACGATTTTTTCACGCTTTTCAATAATTTAAAATGGAAGCTAGAAACAATAATGAAAATTCTCTCTGGGTGTTCGGATATGGATCTTTGTGCTGGCATCCAGGTTTCAAATATAAAAAAAGCGCGGTAGGACACATCAAAGGATTCATTAGAAGATTTTGGCAAGGAAATACAACGCATCGGGGAACAATAGAAAAGGTAAGTCTTTAATGTTAGAAATTTGTAATTTCTTTATTCTCTTTTATTCCTCTTTTTTCACGCTTAAGAAATATCAATTCAGAATTCCTTCATAAATATTTACATTGTTCTTCTTTTTCGTTAAAAATCCGTCTATATACAAATTTCACAATAATATTTGCAGTTGATTAATGATGTATAAAATTATAAATTATTCTTAATAAATTAGAAGTGAAAACATTAATTGTATCATAGAATTTCGAAATATATTTACATTATAAAATTATTATATTAATATTATTTATATTGTACACTTTAAAAATATATATATATATATATATATATGATGTTAATAGATATATAAATATTTTCATTTTCATTTACAATGTATAAACATCGAATAGAGTTCGACGACAAACTAAATTTTTCATACGAACTTCACCTCAGATGTTCTATTTATATCTTTAATTTTCTTGTTCATGAATTTGACACGTGAATTCTTTCACAAAGACTTGGCAATCTTCCACGCACCGTTATGATAAAGATGAGTTTTTTTATTTAACACATTTTACAACAAATGTGTTTATTATGAATATTTGATAATATAATATAAATATTTACATTACATTTCTTATTTCTCTTTTTTGAAAAAAGAAATATTCTTATTTTAACAATTTAAAAAATTTTTCAATATATTTTTGAAAATTATAAAATAAATAGTTAATAATAAAATTTTTTTTTAATATCCAGTAGCATATAATGTTTGCGGAACGATACTACGGCTCAGTAAATGCTTACGGATGCTAGCATTAAGACTGATGAAAATCGGATATAGTTTCACCTAAAGCGCGTTCTAATTTCTCTAATTGATATATTATTATTTAATTACCCGAAGTATATTTTTCTAATCATATAGTTTAACAATTTTAATTTCATTTTAATTTTTTATATTCTATTGTATTTCTTTTATCATTACATAGACAACTTTTATCAAATAAAAATTTTTTTTCATCTTGTATTGCGGTTGTCTGTCAATTAATGTGAAACCAGTTATAGCTCGTAGAAACCAATATCTTTTGCAGATATATGATTTTATATGTTGTGCATGCATATGTTATATACTTACGTCATGATTACGTTATGATGTAAAAAATACAATTAATTTCTTTGCAATTGAAATTATTGGTTATTTATTTAGTGATTTGTTATCTATTTTTATTATAGCCTGGACGTGTAGCTACATTGGTTGAGGAAAAAGAGGTAATTCCACTTATTTTTATCATTAACCTCAAATTTATGCATCATTACTATTGATTAATAATGTAAACGTAATATCTCCAGTACTTGTAATGAATTGCTTCCGTTTCGTGATAAATCTTTTCTTTGTTTATAAGGGTGTTGTTTACGGTCGAGCATTTCAAGTTCAAGACAGTACAGCGTTACCTTATTTGGAAAATCGCGAATGTACTTTAGGAGGATATATGACAACAATTACAACATTTTATAGTCGTGAAGGAAACAGAAACTTTCCAGTCATCATTTACATTGCTACCAATAAAAACGAACACTGGCTTGGTGATGCACCGCTTCAAAATATAGCAAAACAAATCTTCGAATGTTCAGGTCCAAATGGGCACAATGTCGAATATCTTTTACGGTTTGTTTTCCCATATACGATCGTTCTGATTTACTCGTTAAGTTATTTTATGTTTTTTTTCTTTTTATTTTTTTTTTTTTCTTACATTTCATTTTATGTGTCACGTACAGATTAGCAGAGTTTATGCACCGTTATCTACCAGAAGCTCATGACGAACATTTGTTCACTTTGGAAATATTAGTGCGTTCAAAGATAAAGGAAATGAATATATGTCTGAATACGTTAATGGGTGACCGAAATTTCAATATTGATATCGAGGACATCGATGTGAAGGATGACGACAATGACTTAGTCACCAATAACGCTACTGGCAATCTCAGGAAAAATTCCTTCCAATTTACTCTTCAAGTACCTGATAAGACTATGCGTTGTCTCAAAATGTAGTTTACATTTGTTAATGCTTCAATATTTGCATTTTTGCAGAATTTAAAGAGGCAAACGATAGATAGTTAAAGAAAATAGGATAAATAAATCATAAATATTCTTTATAAATATTTATATTAAAACGTTCGTATTTTTCGAGAATAATTCGTACAATATTTGTTCTCAAATAATATACGAATTAAATCTGAATGTAATACAAATGTATTTTAAGAATAATGAAAGCCATGTTTTGGCAGCTTCGTATTATAAAATATATTTGCATGTTAAAATGTCGCACTTTTATTTTTAAATGTGTTGGACATTATTTCAAATGATATTTTTTAAAAAAAAGTTGTGCCTTAATTTATTATAATTGAGCATAATTGTATGTATTACAAGTGTTCCTTTCTATAATTTTCTAAATTGTAAGTTAACAAATTTTGTATATTGACATGCAAAATATAGTAATTTATAAAAGAGATAATATTAAAATATTTTATTATTATTTTATCATTTCTTATATCGTAGTTAAAATATTGATTCGACTCAAAATAAAATTGTAGTTATCAATGAGAAATGATGAAAATATATTCAATTGATATCTCGTATCTCATCTATCACGCGCTGAGAGTAAGGATAGACAAGAAGAGTAAACAATGAGAGAAAGATAGAAATAGGATAAAAATTAGGAAATCAGCGCCATCTTCAGAGTGCCGTAAATGAAACTCGTAATAGCAAAAAGATCAAATAAGAATTGATCTTTATCGCCATCTCTCGAATATCGAAGATACCTTATTGAATCATATTTTCAGAAATACGCAAGAGATGGCGTTAATTCTCAATTCCTATTCTACCTTATCCTGTGTTTGAAGAAATGTCTTTAATAATCAAGAGATGGCACTGATAGCCAATTCTTATTTGTTCTCCTTGTCTATCATAAGTTTCATTTGCGGCACTCTCGAGATGGCGCTGATTCTCTAATTTTTATCCTATCTCTATCCTTTTCTCATTATCTAGTTTCTATCCTTATCTATTCTTGTTCTTGGCGCGTGACCATAGACAAGAAAGATTTACATATTCTTTTTACAATTATAACTGCTTATTTAATATAATATTTTTATTTAAAATCACGTGCAAAGCCATCATTCCTAATTAATTAAAGTTATTTGTAACATATTGAAGAAAATATTTGTACCGTTATCGGCAGATGATTTTCGTAATTTTTGGTAAAAATATAAGGAAAAGGGAACATGGAATTCCTGGTTATGCCGCGATGGCGTGGTGGGCCTCGAACATCTTCGTTATTATTTCAGCGAAACGAAGCGTGCATAGGTGCACGCTCGAGTTGGTTCCTGTACGAGTTGTTAACTTCTTCGTCGAGGATTCTGACCAATTTATTACACATAATTCGTCGTTTCTTTTTCGAAATAAGTAGCCCGAAAATCGTTTGGCGATCTCGCAAAAAATTAACCAAACCTCGAAGATATAAAGGCAGAATTATAAAAGCTTTGTATATATATATTCTCAATTATACTCTGTGAGAAATAAAATTTTTCGTAATCGATAGCTTTATAATATATCTCTTTACATGTAAGTATTTAAAAAATTCGCAAAATTTGAATACCTATCTTTATTCGACAGAAAAAGAATCTTCGAATTAAGTCATTACGCAAAAATATCCTTTGACAAGTTTGAAATTTCACATTCTTCAACTAACGATTTAACGTATATTGCAATATACGTTCAGTGACGAAAAAGAATCGCGTATAGTGTGGCGAGAAACGAATCGTTACAGTCGACGATGATCCGTTTAAAAAAGAAATTTCACCGAGTTAGCGACTTAACAAAAACCGCATAGAATCACGAGAATTACATATATATTTTTACACGATTTCCAATGGACAATCTAGACAGGGAACATAGGGACGAAGACTGGAGAATCTCTTTACGGAACGTACGTAAACGAACGTTCGTCACGCATCGTGGCGATAAAGCCAGCCAGGTATCTCGAGGATAACGTTACTCTTGTGTTACGTGTATGCTGTCCTGTAATTCCATTAATGCATTTTGTGGACAATTTTAAGAGATTTTTTTTTTACCGTGAAAATTAAAACAAAAAAAAAAAAAAAAAAATAATTACAAATTTATATCCAAAAGTGTATCCAAGAAGAGTGTATACAACTATTTTATTCTAACATGTAGAGAATATTAATATTTCAATAAATTTATATACAAGTTAAAAAGTGTTTTATACATCGATTATATCCAAGCATACTAAACTATTTTATTCGAATATACGTGGAATGCTAGTTTAATGGAAAGAGGGCAGAGTTTGAAGAAATCGAAGTTTCAAATTTTTGTGTATAAATTGCGCATAAGCGAACACGAAACGATCGTCTGGGAACGGTCAGGACGAAAATATATTTCCGCCCGCAAATAACTTCCATAAGCTTGCTTTCGTGCGGAAAAGTCGAATATACGGTTATATTCGCTCGTCACGGTTATTAAACGCGTATTTCTTTTCTTTCCTATCGTGCACGACAGATATTCAAAGCGCGCATCGATTTGAACCACCCACGAGAAATTTCGATTGCGATGCCAATCCGCACAGACATTCAACTGTATTTCAACCTCGAACGTTAGAGAGAGAGAAAAAAAAAGAAAAAGAAACGCGCAAGATTAGAAAGTTCTCAGGTTGCGCGTAACGAAATATTCCCAATGTCATGCGTCGATCATTTTTTACGCGGTATTAAATTGAACGAACGATGTCGTTTCCTTGCCTCTTCATGGCCGTTGGATTTCCGCAATAATGGGATAGGCACTGTTACACGTTTTCCCGCGTTTTTTTCTGAAAAATGGCCGGTGGTATATAAAGAAAGAGAGAAAGAAAAAGTGGCGAGACCGTGGGCCGGTTTAAAAGGCGTAAAGCACGACTTTATTTTATTGCTGGTGTGACGATTTCCGTCACGTTATTGTGTCAAGTACTAAAGTGGCTAAAAAAGTCGCGATGTAATTTGTTCTTCCAAATTGCGATATGAAACTAATCCAGACTATTAAACTTTTTTCCTAAAATATTATTTAAGATGACGAGTACTTTATCGAGAGTGAAACTTTGAAGGATTTTTTTTTTCTTCTTTTTTTTGAGGGAATTTTTCACATTGACAAGTAAATTGTTCTTATGAAAAATCTTTATTTCTATTTTGAGACACGTAATGAATGACGTAAGATTTTCTTTTTAACTGTAAAATTTCTCTCTTTTTGTCTTTTATATGTAAAAAAAAAGTAAAAATGGCACGATTATCTGGACAAAAATCCGAGCCATCCGTGAGTGAAAGTTTGCCATTTTTGTTTTTACGGGACGATCTAAACGCCACTGGTCATGTTACGATTATCCACAAGTAATTAAATTATCCTCCCTTATTGTTACGTAATCCACGAAAGAGTGAAACTGCAAATCAATTATTCATCGTATTGTAAAGCGAGAGCGGGTCGTTTTTACCGACCGTGAGAGCGGTGGCTTGCAATAAAGCCAGCCTCCTTTTGCGGTCCGCTCGTTTTATCAAGTAAAATCCTTTCTCTTCTGACGCACGGATCGTAACACGCGCGTTGGTTCATGCATCCTCTTAATTACGCGAATCCACGCATTCACGTACAATTTACGCCGATTAACCCGTGTCTCCATTCTTTTCAACGATCAACTAAAATAAATCGTAATACGGCCAAGGTTGTGCGCACCTGATCGACAATGCGCGCATTTATTTCTAACGTGCCGTGTTAAAACTTAATCGGAGCGAACGACTTGTCACGCAACAACACCTCGTATTATTATTTTATTGTCATACATGTGGCGAATAACTGTGGCGCGTTAGAAGTAAAATTCAAATTCGAAGCTTTTTAATTTTAGATTAATAATTTTTTTATAATTAATAATTTTTTCGTGTGAAAAAAAATTCTTCATCTCTTCCCGATTCTTTTCTTCTCTCTTAGCTTAGAATAGAATCGCAATTTTTCAAAAAAAGAAAAATCAAATTGTTGATTTTGTTGACTGTAAATAACACGCTCGTATCGATATTTCTTTTTTTTTTAAATTTAAAAATTTACTCTCCGATTTATTTTATAGAATATTTTCTTTATATTATATTATTTCTTATATTCCAATTCAATATGATTCTATAACTTTTAAAAAAATCAATCTGTCAAAGTGAGGTATTTTAATCGAACGTAACTTGTTACTCGTTTCGAGTCTTTTACAATCACATTATCAGTCGTATTCTTCCGTGAGAAGAGTTTGTACTTCGGAATAATGACATTAAGTTGCCACAACGTATGAAATTTCTCCGGCAATGCGTAATTTAGGAGTAATAACCGGGCAGATGCAGATCAGAATCGTACAGTGCGGTGAACGCTGCGGCATTTCGAGGCATTATTGCCTCGTCTCTTTGTTCCTTCGTCTAAAAAGCTTTCACCAGAGACGTTTCCTCGTTTCCTCCGCGTCGCGTGTCTCTTCCTTCTTGAAGCATTACCATCATCAACGCAATTGCGATGCGTGTCACTGTCAACGTTAAAACAAACTCGGTGAAATTGAAAGTATACTTTAAAAACTTGGTGTTTAATTAAACATTTCTTGAGAACTTGCTTTCCTTCGCTTTCCAAAACTCTCAAAAATTTTACTCTAAAAAAATAAAATATTCCAATGAGTATTTCATATAAAATAACACTTCTATTAGAAAAATATATATTTTTTTGATAGTAAAAGTTACTCTTTTATCAAATATATTCTTTATCAAATACATTAAGGGTTTTTCTAAAAGCTTATTAATTGCGAGCAAACGCTGGAAAAATTGAGATTTAATTAAAGAGAAGACTTAATAAAAATAGAGCATGAAAACACTTCTATTAGAAAAAATATATATATATATATTTTTGATAGTAAAAGTTATTCTTTTATCAAATATATTCTTTATCAAATACCTTAAGGATTTTTCTAAAGGCTTATTAATTGCGAGCAAACGCTGGAAAAATTGAGACTTAATTAAAGAGAAGACTTAATAAAAATAGAGCATGAAAACATTTCTATTAGAAAAATATATATATATATTTTTTTGAGAGTAAAAGTTATTCTTTTATCAAATATATTCTTTATCAAATACCTTAAGGATTTTTCTAAAAGCTTATTAATTGCGAGCAAACGCTGGAAAAATTGAGATTTAATTAAAGAGAAGACTTAATAAAAATAGAGCATGAAAACACTTCTATTAGAAAAAATATATATATATATTTTTTTGATAGTAAAAGTTACTCTTTTATCAAATATATTCTTTATCAAATACATTAAGGGTTTTTCTAAAGGCTTATTAATTGCGAGCAAACGCTGGAAAAATTGAGACTTAATTAAAGAGAAGACTTAATAAAAATAGAGCATAAAAACATTTCTATTAAAAAAATATATATATTTTTTTTTGAGAGTAAAAGTTACTCTTTTATCAAATATATTCTTTATCAAATACCTTAAGGATTTTTTTAAAAGCTTATTAATTGTGAGCAAACGCTGGAAAAATTGAGACTTAATTAAAAAGAAGAGTTAATAAGAATAGAGCATAAAAATGAGGAGCACCTTGACACGTACGATTCTATGAAATTAGATTATATGGCTAAAACTGTCTCATTAGCGTCATTAACTCCGCGCATCGTTGATCATTTAGCCGCGTTATTCCGCCGTGGCGCATTAATTAAGCGTATTCACAGATTTATTAGTTTTACTGGGTCGCAGTTTATGAACACGCTTCAACAATAAGTATATCTTTTCGCATACCTATTCGCATGGACTAACAGAAAGCGACAAATAACCTTACCATAATACTAGAATTTCATCATTTTTCAAAATTTTTTTTTCTTATCACACAAGATAAATCACTATTGTACTTATTTAAATGAACCAAGTTTCTAATCATATCTTGACTTCCAAAAGAAAAAGACTTGTTGAACTATCTCAGAGTTTCCATCTTGGCACATTTTCTCTCCTTATCAAGTTGGATAATTTATCAATTCGTGTAAGAGGATACCTGAAATAAATAATATATATAAATAAATAAATAATAAATAATAATATCTACATAAAATAATAAATATATATATTTATAAAAAATAAATATATATATATATAAAAATAAATATTACATTTTATAAAATATATATATATATTTATAAAATAATAAATTAAAAATGTTAAAAATATATGTATCGTTAAAATTATACCATACTTATAAATTTCTACATTTTCTACAAATTCAGATAACACGCGTAGTCATCATCATCATCATCATCATCAATTTTTGAGGAAGCGAAAAGCGAACGATTCTGAAAAGCGAGGCGTCAGATTGATTATCCTATGCATCTCGTCGATCGTTTAAACGCGTCATTACGTTCATCAATTAATCGCACTTGATCGCATATACACATATATAGATACACGTAGCACTGTAGATGCGTTCGAGGAGACGAGAGAGAGAGAGAGAGAGAGAGAGAGAGAGAGAGAGAGAGAGAGAGAGAGAGAGAAAGGTTTCTGTGCCGCAACGAAGCCTGTGGGCAACACGACCGTGTATATTCGTTTACTGGTCGAGCTATTGAAATATCTGTGCTTAGCGCTTTGCACGATGCACCTACGCGAGCTTCGAGTTTCGAGGCTGTGATACACGCTGACCCTTGATCCCCCCGTTGAAATAAATCGCACGATTTATCTTGTTTTAGCCCGTGATGGGTTTAAGGATAACGATTCCATTGTGGATTTAATACAGTGTGCGATAAATGTTTGTACAGCGAGGTGCATCGGGAGCATTTAACGTAATTGAAATGGGAATAAGGGCCTGTGACACATTTCGGTTGAAGTTGAAATAACGGTAAGGTTCTACGATCCCTGTAGATCATTTTAATGCGCGCAGATTGTAGATATTACGATAGAAGGCGATGCGAGAAGCGTGTTTGAAATCTTATGCGAAGGAAGATCTGAGGAAGAAGAGAGAAGCTAAAAAGCAATTTTCAGGAAGATATATATATATGTATATATATATATAATGTTTGCTCATATACGTACGTGATATTCTCTTCATGACAAAATATTGTTTATTAATTTTCGTAAAGGTTAGAACGCGTAAAGTTGATTGATATTCCTTTTTTTTTCCCACTTTTCTTTTATTTCGCATGCTTTAAATTCTTATTTCCGATTATCATTCAACTGTTACACGTTCAATTTCAATTTTGAATTCTCGCATAATTATTTCCAACTCTAATTGCATTGCGAAATTACTTTCTTACGTTTATAGATAATCGACTCCTATATATAGGCGATTACGTATCTTATTCGTATCCCAAATAGTAAAAAACCAATGAATACTGGTTTGAAAAGCTTGTTGAAAACGATCTGCTCGCAGCTAACCCTTTCACAAAACTCGTCCCTTAAATTGTTATTTCTTATTAACGCGCGGACATTTTATTGCTATGGGAATGAATATTTTACCATCGTGAGAAGCACACAGTCGAATTATTCTATCGATTACACACAGCCACTATCAGGAAGGATATTTACCGGAAGAGCTCGCGGAGTCAACGACCTAACATAATCCTCGGAATAATCGCCGTGATTTTTCCATGTTCGTTTCTGCGATTCGTGTGTTGCGCTCGGTGGCACCATTGATCGAAGCGAATACACAACCCGAACGAGCTAACGGCGCTGAAAGGTTAATCATATCTATATACCGGGTGGTCGAGAAACAGATTTGATTCTAAATGAATAGCAACATATAGGTCATGGGTCGTCAACATTTGCAAGAAAAGACGTGAAAAATCGAAAAGAATTAGTTATCGTCAGTAATTATGTAAGCAGTTATCTTTTCTATTTCATTTTGCATTTTTCATTGTTTTTCGTATTACTTATTGGAAATCAATATCCGCCATCATTATCGAGAAATTGTGCCTATATACGTAATTGGCCAAGGTGATCGATAACAGATAGCGCGGGAACATTGAAAGAAAACCGGAACGAGGCCTGATTTCTCGAATCGTATCATCGAACGGATGGGTTATGGTGATCAACGATCGGCCGACAGATCGATCATTCACCAAGCGCAATACACGTACACGCGATTAATAACGAGTAAGAACGTGGCTCACGAAGTTCGCATAAATTCATGGGGTAGCAACCTACTTATCACCTGCTACGCTCGTGAAACGCTATCCCTTTAATATCGTTTTACACGGTACGTAATTATCAAAGTAGATCGTGGACGGCTCGATAGCGAAACAATAAATTCTGGCAGACATGGCGCGCGATATTCGATCAGTGTGTCGCCATCGATGTTGGTCGGCTTAGAAAAATCTATTAATAGATTTCCAGCTTTCATATCTTTTTCGGTTATCTTGAATTATTCAGCATAGTTGTATCAATCTGTTAACAAAAAGAAAAAAATTAGAAGATATTCATTATTCGTGATAAAATAAAGCTTATTAATATTATATTATAATAATATAATATAATAATAATAATATAATAATATAATAATAATAAATAATATATAAATTATTAATAGGTTTCCAATAATTAAAATATTAATATTTTGAAGATATACTCACGACAATAGAATAAAGTGTAAAATCGATTAATTGTAAAAATATAATCTAGTCACATAGATTAAGTTATAATTGCCAATATAAGTAACATGATCTTAATTTAAATATATTGAAACGCAAAATAATTTGTGTAAAGATGTATGGTTGTACAACATATGTATCTGTCTATTGAAAGTTGACATCAGAGATTGGCAAATGAGAGAGTTTGGAAGATAGAAAGATGCGAGATGTCAGCTGTAAAGTCCCTCTGGGAGAGAGAAATTTTACTTTTGGGAAGGGATAACCACGAGTAAAGTCATCCCGCTTGCGTCATCCACCTGCCGTACGCACCGTTCGTGTCCGGTACCGTTTTCGGTATCTGTTTCTCTTTTCTCGGGCTCATGGCACTGGAGCTGCCGTGACCATGAACTTGTCGATTCAATTTGACGCCGAATAATCGTCACAATTATCTTCTCCCCGCTTATTACTTACGCCAAAATATTTTTTGGAATTGGAGAATAATTAAGTTAATCGTTCTTATATATTTTATGATCTAAAAAATAAACATAAAAATGAAAATAAATGACATTTCTTAAATGAAGAATGGATAATGTGATAATTAATTTTTCATTACATGCTATTTTTTTTGTGAAATTTAAAATAATTAATCTTTCTTCAGAAAATTTGTATACTCTATAAATTAAAATGAATTAAAATGAAGAAAATAAATGATGAAAATAGATTTAACGACAATATTTTCTTAAAATATAAAATACTTTTAAATAAAAATTTAAGTATAAATGTTTTTTAAATAAATAAATGATCACTGTACGTTATATGTAATGATATGATATTATATGTGACTATATGGCAATATGATGATTAATGTTCAATGAAGAAAAATATTTTTAATGTTGATTTCATATTGATTATTGCGCATAAATAATTATAAAAATTCTTGAGTTAAGAATTGAATGCAAGAATCGTAAAATTCCAGGCATACTTTTGTTCTTGCATCATAAAGTTTTCTGCATCTCCGCGCACAATATCAACGACTGAATCACTTGGCTTCTTTACTAGTTACTTTCAAAGCTTATTGCGCGGTCTCAGTCCCATGGAAACGCGGCAGCGTCATAATTGAAGTTCATTACATCTCGTTCAAGAGTCGGCTTTTGCAACAAAGATCTCTTTAACATAACCTCTTTTTCATTCGATGTACAATCCACATCTACTATTATACCTGAATCAAATAAAAAAAATATGTTATATAACTTAAAAAAAAGAAAAAAATAAAAATTATTTTCAAAGAATAGATGATCTTCGTTAGAAATTCAGTGTTGATCACAGGAGCCCTTAATGGTAATGGTTTGACTAGTTCCGTTGAACAATTTGCAAGAAGATCAGACAGGAGAAATTTGCAATTAAAACGGGTAAGGGATCTTCTTTCCCTCGGGGAGACGCACAGATGCATTCCGATACGAAGAAGCCTCGTGGTCGCGTGAAAGTTGTTCTCCTCTCTTCCTTCATTAATATCGGTTTCTTTTCCTTGCCAGAGGACACGAAGCCGCCGCTGGCTCCTCCAAGTCGCGATTTGCCAATAGCGAGTCGATGAGCTCCGAAGTAACCTCCGGCTAACCCATGACCACGTCATCCTAACCTAGTCACGTGAGCGGTACTTTAATATATGGAGAAGATGAGACACGCGGAAATGCAAGACTTTATATCCATGAAGTACCTGTAGAAGCGTTTCTTCGATTTCCAAATAATCTTTGAGGTTAACATCGTTCGAGACGATATTGTTTCAATTACTCTTCATAACTTTAGAATTATTTCCACTATTTCAGTTTTGTTTGTTATTAATAATAACAAATTGTTCAGAAGATCTTAATTTATGGCAGTTCTTCTTCTTCTTGCAAGGAATATTTATCGTAGGTAATAACGTTTGATATATCGTATCTTGTTAAAGTGTCAAGGATTAGAAATATGTAGAGGGAGTTACTATCGTCTAGAAGAATTCATCCATAAATAGAAACTATTAAAATATTCAATTTCGCGAAACGATTGTAAAATGGCAAATCATTTGCGATTACTTGCAGATTTATTAGAATCTTGACCTACGAGAGATTCATCGAAGCCTTAGGCTCCTTTTTCGACGAACTATTTAGGTACCAGCACGTTGCTCCTGCTTCCGGCGTTTAAAGTTAGGATGGACCGAACAGTATAAAAAAATAGCCCTAGGCCGATACACGCATCGGCTATTATTATATTAGAAGCGATTATTCGTCTTTGTTCCTGATCCGACTATTCCTGTTCGTCTTTTTGCATCACGATAATCTGTTACTAGAAATTTTTAAGAATATTTTAAATAGGAACGTGTATAAGATAATTTGAATATAAATTTCTAAAATTAAGAATATACTTAAGATACCAACATAAATACTATCCATCATAGAAGATAATCACAAATTTAGATATATGTCATTTGTTTACTTAAAATACTTTTGTTTACTAAAAATAGATAGCAGAGCATCTAGAAACAGCGTGAATTTATTTCAGAGGCCAAAATGTTGGCAATTTTGCCTTAATCGTATATTCACGAGAAGATTAGATATATGTTTCAAGATCGTGAGCCCGTGGCTTGATGATTAGCCTAATGGGAAATCCGGGTCTGCTCTCTCTCTATGACTTGACTTAGGGTCACGAAGTCAGTCAGGTGAATTCTTCTGTTTCGAACAGACAACCTCCGGATTACTTTGTTCCTTGCGACTCTTCTTACCGACCTGTCACTGACCGTTTGATGTGACGTTTATGTGCCATTGTGATGGTCGGAATACATTAACCCTTTAGAATAGGGAATTCATCTTCCGTACAGCAACATAGATCTTGATAGTGAATAATGAAACGATGCATAATTCGAATTATCGTGTTATAAATTGACAATATGACTATCAATTAATTGTTCAGTATAATTTTCACATCAAGGATTAAAAATATGTTCTATTTTTATAGAAAAATATAATATATAAAGTATCTGAAAAATAAAAAAAAAAATAAGAAAGAATAAATAAATAATTGTAATGTATAATTGTAAATAAATAAATAAATAAGTAATTGTAATAGTAATTCATAATTCACGCAGCGTCAGTGTTAACATTTCATTTTCATAAATTATTCAGAAATTAGAATATAAATCTATAGATTCAAGATAATCAGTCCTCGTGAAAAACGAGGACACAGCCTGTAGATAATTTATATCCACCACTCTTTGTATCCGTGCTTCCAGCTTCCTTTTTACTCTTTGTCCGCCTGTCCTGTCGTGTTCCTGTCCTCTGCGTACACCAGCGGCATTAGATTCCTCTGTTTCTTTTTATTATTCCTTACCCTTATCTTTTTCTCCACAATACATCACTTCTTTTGTCGTTTGTCCGTCGTGAATCGTCTTGTTCCACTTGCTCCTTTCGTTTCCTTCATTTTCATTTTTCTTTTGTCTCTTCCCGCGGCCAGACTCGTGACGAGAAATACGAAACAATCCGCACGCTCGGGAACACACACGTCGCTTTGGAAAATACTTTTCATTATTCACACTTTGTACCTCTTTGCATGCGATGCGCTCGAAATGGGAACCTTAGACTTTCTTATTTTCGAATAACAAATTATCGTTAAAGCGTTGACGCTTAATCTGTTATACGTGATTTTCTGATCTCATTTAGATGATCCTCCTTCCATTCCCATAGCATTCTTTCTTTTACGGATGCAACACCGTCGGCGGTTCATTAATTAGCGCGTTCTTTGCAGAAAAATCCATAAGATCAGAATGAAAATGCGGCGGATGCGTGTAAAATTGCAGAAAACGATGTTCTCTCCCGGCATTTTTGCGATTGTGATATCATTATCGTTGTTATTAACGTCGAAGGACGTGTCTTTACGCATCGGCGACCGCGCGGCTGAACAAGCAGCGTAGAATAGATATTTGATGGCGGTGCAACGCGATTAAGAAAACTATCGATTGTCCCTGAATGATCGAAGGTGAGTGAAGATCAAATCTCTCGAGTAAATCCTGTAAGGCGTAATCGCTTAGTTATGGCGTTCATTTTTCTTTCCCTTTTTTCCTTTTCTTTTCTTTTTTTTTTTTTTTTTTTTTTTTCTTTTCAACTAGGTATACCTACGGTGATTGTAACCCGCTCGACCATCGACTGGATGCGTTCTCTTTATGGTAAGCGCGATTTGCCAACGCTGCAATTGATATTTACGAGGACACGAGTACCGTCGACCAGAAATAAAATACTATGCCTGAGAGCAATCTCGAATGCAAAGACAAGTTATTCGTCAATTTTTTTCTTTTCCACCTGCTATATAAAAGTTTCTATAAATTAATTACCATATGTAAGAAGTTATCTTTTGAATTGGAACAAAAAAAAAAAAAAAATACAATGTGCAAAATTATTCCAATCCTTTCTTTCAACAATTCAAAAAATATCTCTTACTTATAAATATTTACTATAAATCAATGTTAAATTTATATATTTTGAATTTTATCAAAAAATGTGCCCGCACATTTCTTCTAATTATAAAAACAAAAAAATGAAAATTATTTCTAATCTCTTGAATTTCGAGAGTGAATAAAGGACAGGAAATGAACGGTGAATTCATTGCAAAATTGTCGAACCGTTCTCCGCGAGTTTCTGGGGGATCTGATTACATAAACAAACGGAACCTCCGGTCCATTACGTAAAAGGCTCGCCTTCGCACGCGGTGTGGGATCGACGAGGGAATACGATGACGATGTCAGATGACGGCGACGCCAATGATGATGTGGCCGACGAAGGTGAGGCTTTCCGCTATAATAGGATTAATTCGTAGGAGCCGATGAATGCACGTGATGCGTCGGTGTTCTCTCTTTCTTCTCTGTTTTCAAGGTGGGCGAACGCGTATGCAACGCTGCATCGTAATTCCTGTTTCATCGTTGCCGATCTTCTATGCAACAGCCACTACCTTGTGTCCTCTGCAATTTCGCTCGCATAAGTTTTGGTTTATAAACGTTATGGCGGAATATTTGTTGAAAATTTCTCGTCATATCATAAGGTAAAATCAAATTCAAAGAAATTTTACAGACTCGATTAAAGATGATAGATGATTTGATGATATTTCCTTCCTTGGAACGTTTTCAATACGCGTTGAAAAATATTTGTATCCTGAAAATAGAAATTGATAATTTTAAAGATAAAATATTGTCAATACTTTTTTTCACTTAAAATAATTTTAAAAAAAACGTATATATACATTCCTAAAAAAATAAAATTAAATAAAAATTGTCTACCTCCAGATGACTCATTCGAAGATGATACACGAATTTTTGGACTTCACATTTCTACTGAAAATTAAAAAAATTGATATATTAGAAAAAAAAAAAAAATATAACAAGAGATCTTTCGAGGCGATCTCTATCGTTAATCTCACATCTCTCGCATCGCGTTAAACATAATAATAAATGCTTGACTCATGAAGCCGTAGAGAGAGACGAATTAACATCATCGGTTGATACGATTAATTCGGTGATTCATTGTTCGCGGTAGGAAACGAACGAACGTATAAAGTAAAGAATGTGTCGAATCGATGGTAAAAAATTCACGGAGGAGAAATTCGCGTTCCGAAATAATCGGGCGGGTTGCTGTTACGAAAAAATCATCGGCCCGTGTTATCGCGCCGGCTCGTCCGTTACGACGAGGCTCCTTCACGACGAATGGGAAACCTACGCGTAATTAGAAAGTACAAGGAGGCTCCGATCGCTGAGAATGCAGCGTAACGCAATGCAAGTGGAATTCCGTTTGATTTCCGCGGCTGGCTCCCCGCGAAGCCAATCAACTTGTTTGCATCCTTCCGATTATTTATCGCGTTCCTTCTTTTTTTCTTTTTATTTTTTTATTTTTTTTTTTTTCACCAAGAATCTTACGCTTCCCTCTTTCACATTTCGTCTCTTTAATTTTCACATTAGATTTTCTAATTTTTCGTTCTTCGATTAATATTAATGAAGAATTTTCTACTTTGTTAATTATTCTTCTTATAATAATATTCTAATGTATTCTTTTTTTTTTCTTTTTGATACCTCAGTTATTTCAAAGAGAAGAATTTAAATCTATATGTTAATTAACACTGTTAGTAGATACCTATTAATTAAATTAAAATTTTATATAAAAATTACATAATATTTACATAAAATTAAAAATTTTTTATTTTTAAAAGATTTTTAAAAGTATATTTAAATTATTGTTATTCGATATATTTTGGATTTATATCGCAACAAGATACAAGATTTCATTAGGAATGGAATTATTAAAGTTGAATGATGTTCGAATCATTGAAACGAGAATTAAGTTTTATCGATTGAAAATATAAAATTAAAAATACGGATGATGATTCCCGGTTTTGCTGTGAAAATCACTCATAGGTAAGAATTCTGATATCACGCTTAAAGTAAGGACTATTAATACCGGCAAAGAGAGCCGCTGGAAATATTCAAGCCTTGCATTCGAAGGGGAATAGGTTCGCGGTGGTTCTAAAGTACACATGGTCATACTCTCTTCTACACATACGTATGTGCATATACATGTATATACCGAGCCGTACTCTTGCGGTTACAGAGTGTTTGCACGACGCGGAGATGAGAGAAGAGAGGAAAGGATGGAAGAAGATCCGTGCCACTCGGTCATTGGTGAACGTACCGTGCCGTACCGTGCCGTACCTTGCTACATCGTATCCCTTTGCATCGTTTTATCGTCCATGCTCCTAAGATATTCTTCCTCTTCTATTTTATTTTTATTCCATTTTTATATTCCATGAAATATTCGAATTTCGAATCGTCTCTTGTCAATCAAAAACGTTGAAAAAACGTAGAAAACCATTTTTTGAAATTGAAAACTATTTTCCTGTAATAAGTAGACATTTATTATTTTCTTTGAATAAGTGAAATTTAAAAAAGAAATATTGATTTGTAATCTGTCTGTTATTTAAGTAAAATGATCGTTGATGTAACATAACGTGAAAATACTTTACCCAATAGTAGTAGTAGTAGTAGTAGTAAGTAATGTGTATTTAAGATAAGAGAACTCGGTGTATGATCGAGGTTCTATATATTGAAACGTTGTCCTTATCTCGAAACTAATTTGTTATAATAGCAATGCCACTATTTCAAGGATCATTGGTTTTACGATTCACTATCTTTCGAAAGATCAATTTTAAACACACACAATATTTTGATCAATTTGTTGTCATCACGTGTTGTCATTGCAGCAACTGAAGGATTAATTTTAAAAAATTCACATTGTTTGAACGACGCGTAAAGAAAAGAAGAGAAAAGAGAAGAAAAATAACGGAATTGTATTACGTCAACAGTTTCTAAAATAAAAAGCAGCGGTTTAAAATGTGCAAACACGCCGCGTTAAAATCCACACACAAGTTTGAAGCCAAACTCGAGCCCGCATTAGAGCCTGTTCAGTACCGGTAAGGTCAAAGGATATCACCTGCATGCCCCGTACACGCATCCCCTCCGCGAAAAATCCTCGAGCATCCGCTATACTTGACCTCTTACAGTAATCTCCATGACAGTGTTCATGGCGCATAAAAACGAAATGCTAAAAACAATTTAAATTATACACCAAGACACCGTCACGTCGACTTTTACCCACACAATTACGTTCCACTCGTATCATTAACAATTTCCATCGATTCACTGTGCTGAGTGTGAGCGTGAAACCTAATCTAATGATCGATTATAACAATTTTTAACAATTTTCAATTTAAAAATTTTGCACTTAAAAAATTAAATAATGAAAAATAATTATTTAATAAAGATCAATAAATTTTGTTAATGAAATTCAAATCAACAATCTAGGAAAATTATACATTTTCTATCAAAGAATATTTCTACATTTTCGATGATACAAAAAAAAAATAATAATATTTTGTATAACTTTCAGAAAAGGCGGAAAAAGAAGACGGAGGGAAAAAAAGGAGAAAGGAAAAGGTGCGAAGCGGCGCGCGACAAAATCGAATCGAAATTCTTGCGTTTAAGCGGTGCTAAGGTCAAAGGATATCAACCGCGTGCGCGCACATCCTGCCGACGAAAAGAACGCGTCGAAGGTCTCCGTAGAGGTTGACCTCTTGCCGGTAGTATCCTCTTCCCCTCTTTATCGTTCCTTGCCCATCCTTCTCTTTCGACGCGCACGATGTTCGAAGCGCACTTCGTACGTACGCTTAGAATCTAGGTAAAGCCGGCCGCGGCACCGGTAGACCGTTAAGGTTCGATCACTTAAACGTACGACACGAAAGGGGAGGGCATGCAGCTCGCGGAGAAGGTGTAGGAGGAGGCATACCTCTGCATACCTGCGTGCGAAGGTGTGTATAAAGCGGGGGAGCTCCAAATGTCAGAAAGAATCGAGCGGAATAGAGTGGAGTGAGCGGAGAATATGATCGTCCGAGCTGGAAGAATAATTATATTACCGGAACTGGGTGGAAAATTTTCGTGAAAAGTCAATGAACGATGCGTATCGATGGATATAATGTAAAGAATGATTTTATAATTTTTATTTCGTCACCCGATCTAATTAGGAATTATTCTGAAACGTTATGATGGGATATTTGATCATTTTGTTATTTTTAACCGTAAGAGCATTGATAATTTATAGTTCGCGATGCATAAAATTTCGTTAATCCTCTGTTTCAGGATTAAATTCATTTCAGAATGATTGGAAAATATTGTGCAGAGATCCGTTGATATGAAACCTGTTCGAAAGGCGAACGATTTCTTTTATTACTCAATTCTTCGATTCTCGCGACAGAGATCAGTCGTTTATTTTCCTTTGGATCGATACAGAATCGTTCTTTTCTCCGCTGCATCTCGATACAGTCCGTAAAAACCGAGAGATCACGCGGATGGAATTGAAGCGAGTGGCACGGACACAAAAGGAAAGGCGCACCGTTGCACTTGTACCTCGAACGACCACGGTTCTCCCGCTGGTGCATTCTAATCGAGTGACTATAATTAAGCTCGCGAAGCTCGTATTGGCGCCACGTGAGTATTCCTGGCGGGACGTGCCGGCGCGCGCGAACCAGTATTTATTGCGCGACAAAGAAATTCGCGGGACATGCTTCTCTAATTATCTATCGTGCGTGATACTTCGATGAATTATATCAATTAACGGACAATATGTACTCGGTGTTTCACTTTTTTTAACACGATGTATACATTTCGCATTGGTTTGCAAACATTTGGCATTTGACATGGTAGGAAGTGAGGTTAGAACAATGAAAGAAAAGAAAAATTCAATCTGCAAATGGAAATATTAAGCGGTCATTTTTACAAAGTGGTTAGAATTATTCAGGTTATTAATGTCGAATCGATGCCTACATCGATGGCTTAAAAATAAAAAAGCGATTCACGTGTATAGCCATGCTGTAATATCGACGGGGCATTAAACTTTTATTGGACATTTCGAGTGAATTTCCATTTTTACGTGAAAAGGTGATTCTAAACGAATCATGAAAATCAAACTGATACTCTAGCAATATTTATTTTTACATAAAATAATAAAATAATAAAATAATGATAATGAATTATAAATTTTTAGTCTAAATTCTAACAAACAATTCTAACAAGAACAAGGAAATAAAATTAACAAAAGAATGGAAATTTCGAAAATGATGCATGCATTATAGAAAACGAGAGAGTGAATATCAACTTTTCATCCTTATTATTATGATTATTAACGTAACAAGAATGAAAAGGAAAAAAAATAATAGCGCTACAACCGCTCCCTAATTCCAACATGCTAGAAATAAAATTCTGCGAGCCACGGATGTCCGTCGGCCATCGAAAAGAAGTAATCGTTCTGAAAAAAAGGTCGTTTCTGAAAAGAACCGGCAGAGAGCATATAGTGGTTGGTGCACCGGTTATCGACGATAATGGACCGGATCGTCGATTCGTATGTACGTCGCGTATAAAGGCGGTGCATAGTCGAATCGTGGGAATCGATCGGATTACATCCGCCCAATTAATTTTTTTTCGCCGGAACCGCCTCTCCGCGCATCCCCCTCGCGAGAGCTGTCCTCTTTCCTCACCGAATGCTCTTGTTTGACCCGGTGCACCGAGGTGCAACGTCGCGGTGCACCTGGAAAGGGAACCTGGAACCGGCCGGAAGCGGTCGCTGATGTTTTTGGCGTTCAGAAGAGATTTACTCGAGCCTTGTTCAATTTTAGCCCCAATATAACACTTGAGCGTCTTCCTACCGTTATTGCCGATAATCTAACCTTAACGGTAATACGACACTTAAACGATATTTATCCCTGAAATACAAACGTTGTTCAATATT